GGGAAGTTTTCCTGGATAATATCCTGAAGAGTATTTTCCAGCTTGGATTCATTCTCTTCGTCACATTCAGGTATGCCTATCAAACGTAGATTAGGTCTTTTCACATAGTCCCACATTTCTTGGAGATTTTGTTCATTCCTTTTTACCCTTTTTTCTCCAGTCTTGCCTTCCTGTTTTATTTCATTGAGTTGATCTTCGACCTCTGATATCCTTTCTTCTGCTTGGTCCATTCGGCTGTTGATACTTGTGCATGCTTCACGAAGTTCTCGTGTTGTGTTTTTCAGCTCCATCAATTCACTTATATTCCTTTCTATTTTGTCCATTCTCATTAGCATTTCGTCAAATCTTTTTTCAAGGTTCTTAGTTTCTTTGCATTTGGTTAGAACGTGTTCTTTAAGTTCACAGAAGTTTCTTACTACCCACCTTCTGAAGTCTGATTCTGTCATTTCATCACACTCGTTCTCCCTACAACCTTGTTCCCTTGCTGGTGAGGAGTTGTGATCCCTTGTAGGAGGAGAGGTGTTCTGGTTTCGGGTGTTTTCATCCTTTTTGCGCTGGTTTCTTTCCATCTTTAAGGATTTATCCACCTGTCGACTTTGTAGTTGCTGGCTTTCAGATTGGGTCTCAAATCTTTCAGATTGATGTTCTGTTTGTTGATGATGAGGTTATTTCTGTTTCTTGGTTTTCCTTCTGACAGTCTGGCCCCTCTGCTGTAGGTCTGCTGAGGTTCACTCCAGGCCCTGCTTGCCTGGGGTTCACCTGCAGCAGCTGCTGAACAGTAAGGGTTGTTACCAGTTTTCTTCTTCTGCTATCTTTGTCCCAGAAGGATACGCGCCTCATTTCAATCTGATCTCTCCTTTATGAGGTGGCTCTTTGGATATACAGGGGTCAGGGAGCTGCTTGAGGAGACGGTCTCTTCTTTATAGGAGCTCAAATGGTGAGCTGTGAGCTCTGTTGTTCATTCAGAGCTGCTGGGCAGGTACGTTTAGGTCTGCTGCAGCAGAACTCATAAACTGCTTTTTGTTCCCAGGTGCTCTGTCCCAGGGATTTAGGGCTTTATGAGTTTCGGTTATGCTGCTGCCTTCTCTTCTCTTTTTTTTTTTTTTCTTCAGAGCTGGCCTGCCCAGCAAGGAGGCAGCCTAGTCACTGACTGCCTGTATAGGCTTTGCTGAGCTGCTGTGGGCTCCGCCCAGCTGCCAAGTGAACTTCCCTGCCGTCCTGTTTATATGGGTGTAGTTAGAACTGCTTTGGCGATGGTGGCCCGCCTCTGTTGAGGTGGAGTCTCTCTGTAGTGGCGGGTTGCCTTGGCAACAGTGGGCTGCCTCTGCAATGGCGGGTTGCCTTGGCAACGGCGGGCTGCCTCAGCAACGGCGGGCTGCCTCAGCCTTGGCTGACTACCTCCGTAGTGGTGGGCTGCCTCAGTAATGGCGGATGCCCCTCCCCCACAGAGCTGGACCGTCCTGGATTCAGCTGTGCTTGCTGTGAAACTCTCAATCCAGAGTTTCTGGTTGCTGTTCTTTTGTGGGGGTGGGACCAGCCGAGTCTGATCGCCTGGCTCCCTGCCTCAGAGCCTTTTTTAAGTTGGTGTTCCAGTCGCCTGTTGAAGAGGCGCCGGGGTCTGTTTGTTTTCCCCTGCGGCCACTCACTGCGCTGGCTTAAACAGCAGCACTGAGGTTTGTGGCGCCTTTTTTTTTTTTTGCCCTGGAATCTACTGTCCTGGTTCCCTGCTCAGTCCCCTTTTTAAACAGACAAATGGGCGACTTCCCATGGCTCCAATCGCGAGCCAAAAGGGCACCCGGACCGGTGTATTTTGTACGGAGAACCGCTGCTCCGGGGCGCCGACAAAGCAGCCGCGCGGGGCAAAAACAGTGGCTCCGGCTGGCACAGCCGCGCTGGCCGAAACAGCCGCGCTGGTGACCTCTGGAGCTCCTCCGCCTGGGAATTGCCTAGTCTGTGGGCAATAAAAATGCAGCGTCCACTCACCGTCTGTGATTTCACTGGGAGCTGCAATCCTGAGCTGTTCCTAAATGGCCATCTTGGATCCTCTGAGTGTCTCCTTCTTCGATGGTTCCTCTTTTAAAGGCTGTTGGTCTTGTCAAGTGTCCTTTCCTTTCCAAATGTCAGTAGCCATCTTCTCCCTGTACACTGTCAGATCCAGGGGAGTTTTACCATCTCACAATTGGAAGCCCTAGAACAGAACATTATCCTTAACTGATTTCCCTTAGTGCTTCCTATATTTCTGTAAATAGTGTCTCTATTAAATTCTTCCCAATTATACAGTTTGAGTGAGCCATCTCTTTCTGCCAGGAGCCAGAGTGATACATGCTGCATTCATTTTAGTATTCAGAATAAGTGGAAAATGCAGCAATTTTAAAAGACAAAATAAGATTTGCCATTTGAAGAGTTATTGTTTTATAGTTAATGCCCAACTGAGTATCATGTTAAGATTTTAGAATTTTTGCAATACATGGAATTTTAGGAAGTCTGTGATGAAGGGAACTGAAAGCTGTTGGCATCTACATGAGTGGGGACTTAATTTAAGATTTTGGATTATTTTCTAGTCTACCACTCGCATAAACTACCTTTTAGTGCAAGCATGGTGGAAACCTGCATCTTTCTTACCCGTCATATCTCTAGGTAAGTATCATTATGCTCTTATAAATTTATATTTTCACTTCTCCAGGTCTTAGAAAGAGGACTGCTTGAATTTTTGTGAATAAACGAATAAAGGCAATAATTTTAAGATGCACACTGAAACTCAGTGAATTTACATCGCATGATTTAGAAGAACAGATTTTCCATAGGTCTTTGTATAGTTCAGAGGGACACAGCAACAAGTATGCTAATTTCAGATTTATTCACTGAAGCAAGTTCTGAAGAAGTCAACTAGGTATTGTGTACTTACTCTGTATATTTTAGGTATTAAGATTAATTTAAGATGACTTATCATTCACACTTTTTACCATGTTAGGCTTTTCTTCAATTAGTCCGAATTGATGAGCCTGATGAGCTTTTTTAGTGATACAACATTTAAAAGATTAACTACATTGAACATGTGTAGTGGATGAACAACAGTGTCTATTCAATATTAGCTTGAGGCTGTGGAGTATATTCAATAGTCAACATGAAGCAAAATATTATTTATGCTTTGAAAAGAGAATACTTTACTAAATTAGTTAAGACACTTTTCTCATCTCTTCTGGCTTTCCCTGGCTCTTTGCTTACAGCACTGTTTTATATTGGACTGCAGTTCAGACTAGTAATAAATATGTGATTGCCACATTCTTCTGAACCACAATATCTGCTAATGGTGCTAATCAAACAAAATATTTGGATTGCCCCAACCTAAGAAAAAAATCTAAGCCATAGGCTCACTAGGTGTATCCTGTTATATGTGTAGCATACTTCCTTTCAGTCCCTTCCAACAACAAGCTTAAAAAATATGTGCCAGTCTTCAGGCAAATATAATAGACAAAACAGCTAAGAATATAAATGTTATAATTAACATGACATAAGAGTTCTGTAATAGGAACTAGGGATTCAGTTTATGAAAGTCAAAACGTGGATTTTCACCTTCCAGATAAAGGAAAAGCTCAAGCCTGACAAATATGGTAGGGTTGTTTTTACTCCTCAGTCATAAGTCAGTGAATAGGTAGGTAGGTAGGTGGGTAGGTAGATAGATAGATGATTCCTGTGCTATAGAATTCTGCTAGGCACCCTTGTTAATTCAAAAGTACAAAGAGATATGATTCCTGCCCTTAAGGACAGTGTAATCTACTGTAAGATAAATGAACTATTAAGACAAGTCCTCTAGTAATACCGCCCTCCGAAATGTTATGGCTTCTTTTTTTTTTTTTTTTTTTTTTTTTTGAGACGGAGTTTCACTATTGTTACCCAGGCTAGAGTGCAATGGCGCGATCTCGGCTCACCGCAACCTCCGCCTCCTGGGTTCAGGCAATTCTCCTGCCTCAGCCTCCTCAGTAGCTGGGATTACAGGCACGCACCACCATGCCCAGCTACTTTTTTGTATTTTTAGTAGAGACGGGGTTTCACCATGTTGACCAGGATGGTCTCGATCTCTTGACCTCGTGATCCACCCGCCTCGGCCTCCCAAAGTGCTGGGATTACAGGCTTGAGCCACCGCGCCCGGCCTGTTATGGCTTCTTACACTGCCGTGTGTTAATAGTTCACTTCTCTTAAGTTAGATTACGCTTGATTATCCAATATTGACACATTATTATTATTATTATTATTTCCATTTATTTATTTTATCGCATTTTAGGTTTTGGGGTACATGTGAAGAACATGCAGAATTGTTGCATAGGTACACATGTGGCAGTGTGATTTGCTGCCTTCCTCCCCATCACCTGCATCTGTCATCTCTCCCCTTGCTATCTCTCCCCAACTCCCCACCCCTCACTGTCCCTCCCCTATTTCCCCGCAACTGACCCCAGTGTGTAGTGCTCCCCTCCCTGTGTCCATGTGTTCTCATTGTTCAACACCCGCCTATGAGTGAGAACATGCGGTGTTAGATCTCTGCTCTTCTGTCAGTTTGGAGAGAATGATGGTTTCCAGGTTCATCCAGTGCACGTGACACATTATTATTAACAAAAGCCTGTAGTTTACATCAGGATTCACTCTTTTTTTTAATTGTACTTTAGGTTCTGGGGTATATGTGCAGATCATGCAGGATTGTTGCATAGGTACATACATGGCAATGTGGTTTGCTGCCTCCATCCCCCCATCACCTATATCTGGCATTTCTCCCCATGTTATTCCTCCCCAACCTCGCCCCCCTGACTGTCCCTCACCAAACCCCTTCAACAGACCCCATTGTGTGATGCTCCCCTGTGTCCTTGTGTTCTTATTTTTCAACACCTGCCTATGAGTGAGAACATGTGGTGTTTGATTTTCTGTTCTTGTGTCAGTTTGCTGAGAATGATGGTTTCCAGATTCATCCATGTCCCTACAAAGGACACAAACTCATCGTTTTTTATGACTGCATAGTATTCCATAGTGTGTATGTGCCACATTTTCCTTGTGCAGTCTATCGTCAATGGGCATTTGGGTTGGTTCCAGTTCTTTGCTATTGTAAACTGTGCTGCAATGAACATATGTGTTTTGTAAAGTTCTGAGTTTTGAGAAATGTATAATGGCATGTGTTCACCATTACAGTATGATACGAAATAGTTTCATCACCCTCCCAAATCTCCTATGCTCCACCTCCCCTCCATTCCTCCCTAAGCCTGGCAACCACTAAGCTTTTACCGTGCTCATAGTTTTACCTTTTCAAGGATGTTAATAAATAGTATGTGGCTTTTTTAGACTGCCTTCTTTCACTTAGCAATATACAGTTACGTTTCCTGCATGTCTTTGGTGGCTTGATAGTTCATTTATCTTTTTTTAAATCACTGAAGAATAGTACATTGTATGGATGTACCACAGTATGTTTAGCCATTCACTTACTAAAGGATATCTTGGTTGTTTCCAGAAACTACAGTGCATGAGTGATAAGTGCTCTAAGAAAGATGCATGGTGTTAAAAATGAAGAATTAGTTTGGCATTTAGAGGAGACTTCACAGAGGAGGAAACACAAGCTGAGTCTTGAAGGGTTAGTAGGAATAGAAAGGTATACTGGGGCAGGAGTCAGGGGAACAGGTAACTATAGGCAGAGGAGAACACATACAGAGATGTGAGATGGCATGGCGCACGGAAGGCACCTGCAGAAACCCAATATGGCTGTGGAGTAATGCAGGCTGGGGCTGGGCTAGAGGAAGCAGAAGAGGCTATCCTCGGAGGACTTGGTATGTTAAAGAGTTTAGATTTATTCTGGATAAATTGAGAGCTATTGAAGGATTTTAAAAAGAAGAGTGATTTAAAAATAATAATGCGGCCAATAGAACATTTTAAATTACATATGTGGTTCACATTGTATTTCTGTTGGCTAGTTTTTATTTGGATATCCTGTCATCAGTTTGAAAATTCCACATCTAAAATGAAATGTATCATTTTGCTCTCAAAACCAGTTCTTCTCTTTTCTATTTCTGCTGGTGGTGTCATAACCCATCTTCCCATTCCCTCATTAGCCTAAAATCTGGCTGTACTAAAACATACCAATAGCCTCCTAATAAATATGGAACACTTCATGAATTTGCATGTCTTCCTTACACAGGGACCATGCTAATCTTCTCTGTATCATTCTGATTTTAGTATATGTGCTGATGAGGCAAGCACCTAACATTTTTGTGATCCTTATTTTCATTGGTCTTTTTTTCCTACTACTGCTTCATGCAACTGAATCTTTACTTTCTTGATTATCTTCCTCCTTTGACTTCTGTAACTCTGAGCTACTAGAGTTCCTATCCAATTTCTCTGATTACCTTTTCCCTGCCTCTTTCTTTCACTGGCTTCTCCTCTTCTTCATTCCTTAAAGATCTAGCCACATGCTCTGCTTTGTCTCTCTTCCCTCCTCTTTGGATATCTCATCTATTATAATGACGTAACCATTGCATAAATGAAAATGATCACATTACCATCTCCAGTCTCAACCTTCTTTTTAGCTGCAGTACTGCATCTGCAGTTATCTGCCAGATGTTTCTATTTGGAATCCTGTCAGTTTGAAAATTCCATATCTAAAATGAAATGCATCATCTTGCTCTCAAAACCAGTTTTTTTCTATTCTGTCTCTGCTGGTGGTATCATGATTGTCTTTATCACCAGCTTGAAACCTCTGATTTTAGTTGAACTCTTTCTTTTCTCCCCAGCCTCTCCCATTCCTCCAGTCATGAAAACTTGAAGGCTCTTCCCTCCTACTGTCCTGTATATCCATTCCCTTTCTCTGGTCTCATGGATACATGTCCCCACATGCTACACAGACAGCTGCTTCTTTCTGAACCCAGAGTACCTGGGAGTATGACATGGATATGAAACACCAAGTATGGGGTGGGGAGTGAGAATGGCAGTTCCTTAAATGCTCCAAAGTGATTTATTCACAGTATACTTTGAAGTTGCTGACAGAACACGAATGAAACTAGTGATTAAAAAAAGAGCTGTTCTTATATAGTCATGGTGAGAGATGACATTCTTTATTTGGAGGTAAAGAGTTAAATGTAGACATACAGGAAGAAAGAAAAACCAGAATGAAAGCACAGTATGTACATTAGGAGAGCTGAAGAGAAATGAGCTTTATCATGCAAACTACATTGACTTTGAAACATATTGCAGTCATAATGTTCTGAAATTCTTATTGTAGGACACATAGTGAGACTGTCAAAAAGGCTGTGTGAACACTGGGGCTTTTGCAGCACTGACAATATTTTTACCTTTTTTTTTTTATTTTTTGGAAAAGTAGTTCCTGAAGAGACAAAAACCACTCCATGCATTCTTTAATGGCTTTGACACCTTTCATATGATATGGCCACAAGACACTATAATTTTCAAAGATTTAAGGCACAAAACTGCAAAGAAGCAAAGTGTAAGGGTCTTTGGGTAGTCCTAGATAGAGGTTACTTAGGCAATTCAAATGAAGTGAAAACACTATATAATACTAAGTTGTATTTGAGTTTGGGCAGGCTGGTCAGAGATGAAAATGCGAAGAGACTGGATGCCCCGTTTTTGTTCCTACCATAACACACTAGTGATACATGACACACTATGCGGGTCCTTTAAGTTCTCCAAAAACAGTTCGTACAGATTATTACTTTTGGTGTATCTCCCAATAAAAACTTTTGCTTCTTTGTTGTTTAAGTCTGTGACATCATTCTGATGTTATTTATCTTAGTTGAAGAATCGGTGAGTACCGCCTGTAATCCTAGCACTTTGGGAGTCTGAGGAAGGTGAATCACCTGAGGCTGGGAGTTCGAGACCAGCCTGACCAACATGGAGAGATGCTTGTCTCTACTAAAAATACAAAATTAACTGGACATGGTGGTGCATGCCTGTAGTCCCAGCTACTCTGGAGGCTGAGGCAGGAGAATTGCTTGAACCAGGGAGGTGGAGGTTGCATTGAGCCAAAATCGTGCCATTGCACTCCAGCACCGGCAACAAGAGCATAACTCCATCTAAAAAAAAAGAAAAAAGATAAGCTTGGGCAAGGATGTGTTATAATTTTGATTTTGGTGTACCCAGTCTTGTGTTTCTGTCCTCCAATCAGAATCCCATTACTCTTATGGTTTTTTATCTTTTCATGCATTTTTACAGAGAAATATTCCTTATAGTTATATCACTCACTTATGGTTTAGGTTACTGACACTCAAACTTTAGTGTGCATAAATGTAACTGGAGGAGCAAATTTAAAATGCAGGTTACAGGTCCCCAGTTCCACGGATGCCAATTCGGTAGGGCTGGGATAGTATTTTTTAATAGTTTCTCTAGTTATTGTGATGCAGTATGCCAGTAGATTATACTGTGAGAAACATGGGTATAGTGAATTTGAGAACATTTCTTCTCATTCCTAAGTTATTATATGCATATTGTTTCCTGTTTTTCATTGTGGAACACAAGTTTTATGTCCCTGCACATGGAATTTCAGATGACCAACAGTTTGGGAAATATTTAGAAATAGAATAAGTAGAAGCCTACTTGGTATGTGAAGGTGATGCCAATTAAAAGAAAAGTTTCCAGGTCTTTGCTATTGTAAACAGGGCTGCAAAGAACATATGTGTACAGTGTCTTTATAATAAAGCAGAATGATTTATAGTTCTTTGAGTATATACCCAGTAATGGGATTGCTGGGTCAAATGGAATTTCTATTTCTAGATCCTTGAGAAATTGCCGCACTGTCTTCCACAATGGTTGAACTAATTTACACTCCTACCAACTGTGTAAGAGTGTTCCTATTTCTCCACATCCTCTCTAGCATCTGTTGTCTCCAGATTTTTTAATGATCGCCATTCTAACTGGCATGAGATGGTATCTCAGTGTGGTTTTGATTTGCATTTCTCTAATGACCAGTGATGATGAGCATTTTTTCATATGTTTGTTGGCCTCATATATGTCTTCTTTTGTAAAGTGTCTGTTCATATCCTTTGCCCACTTTTGAATGGGTTTGTTTTTTTCTTGTATATCTGTTTTAGTTCTTTGTGGATTCTGGATCTTAGCCCTTTGTCCATCAATGATAGTCTGGACAAAGAAAATGTGGCACATAAACACCATGGAATACTACGCAGCCATAAAAAACAATGAGTTGGTATCCTTTGCAGGAACTTGGGTGAATCTGGAAACCATCATTCTCAGCAAACTGACATAAGAACAGAAAAACAAAAACCACATGTTCTCACTCACAGGCGGGTGTTGAACAATGAGAACACGTGGACTCAGGGAGAGGAGCATCACACACTGGGGACAGTTGGGGGACTAGGGAAGGGACAGCAGGGGGTGGGAAGGGTGGGGAGGGATAACTTGGGGAGAAATGCTGGATATAGTATGCATCTATGCAAGAACCCTGCATGACCTGCACGTGTCCCCAGAACCTAAAGTAAAATAAAATAAAAAAAAGAAAAGTTTCAAATTTTAAAATGGTGTTAAAATGCATTTCCTCTAGACAGCTTATTTTTTTACCTTACGTAGAAATTATTTATGTAACCAGTCAGTGAAACAACTAGGCTAGGATGAGCCAAGTGAAGAGATGGACAGGATCCTGTGCTTACTTGCTCTTTCATTTTTCCATTATTTTTGAGGAAAAAAAAGTATTATTGACATTGATCAAGAAAGGCCCCCTTTTTTATTGTGGTAAAACGTGTATAACCAAATTTACCATTTTGACCATTTTAAGTGTACAGTTTATGGCCTTAAGTATATTGATGTGGCTGTACAACCATCATTTGCAGACTTTCTTCATCTCGTGCAACTAAAACCCTAGGCCCATTAAATCCTAACACCCCAGTCCTCCCTTTTTCCAGCAGCTGGCAACCACCAGTCTACTTTCTGTCTCTATGAATTTGACAGCGTTAGGTACTTTGTATAAATGAAATCAGTATTTGTCTTTTTGTCGCTGACTTATTTTCACTTCACAGA